CAGCCCCAACTTATTGCAATGTAAAGACAAAGACTGGGTAAGAGTGACAGAAAAATGACACTCCACCTATAGAAGATAACTAATTTCAATGGTGCTTTCTTAGTTAAAGTTTTATTTTTGTGAAGAGATACCATGACCAAGACAAGGCTTATAAAGGGCAACTTTTAATTTGCGCTGGCTTATGGTTTCAGAGGTTTAGTCAATTATTGTCATGGCAGGAAGCATGGTGGGATGCAGGCAGACATGGTACTAGAGAAGTAGCTGGGAGTTCCACCAGAGCATTTAAGACCTCAAAGTCCCACTTCCACAATGACACACTTTCTCTAACAAGGCGATACATCCTCCAGTAAGGGCACATTTCCTAATGTGCCACTCCCTATCGCCAAGCATTCAAACACATGAATTCATGCAGGCCAAACCTATTCAAACAATTGCAAATGGCGAATAATTTGCTCAGAAGATACAGACATAAGTCACAAGAAAATAATGCACTGAGAACTTAAGCACAAAAATCTGAGTGAAAATGTTTAAGATGTCGAAAAGGAATCATGACATTCTTTTTTAAATTTTTTTATTTAACTTTTATTAATTACACTTTATTCATTTTGTATCCCCCCATAAGCCCCTCCCTCCTCACCCTCCCTCCTCTTTCTGCATGCATGCCCCTCCCCAAGTCCACTGATAGGGGAGGTCCTCCTCTCCTTCTTTTTGACCTTAGTCTATCAGTTCTCATCAGAAGTGGCTGCATTGTCAGGGTTCTAGGTTATCTCCATGAACAGTCCTTGGTTGGAGTATGAGTCTCTGGAAAGTTCCCTGTGTTCAGATTTTCTTGTTCTGTTGCTCTCCTTGTGGAGTTCCTGTCCTCTCAAGCTCTTACTATTTCCCACTTCTTACATAAAATTCCATTCACTCTGCCCGCCAGTTGGCCATCAGGCTCAGCATCTGCTTTGACAGTCTGCATGGCAGAGGTTCTCAGAGGCCCTCTGTGGCAGGTTCCTAGTTTGTTTCCTGTTTTCTTCTTCTGGCTTTCAGAGGCCCTCTGTAGCAGGTTCCTAGGTTGTTTCCTGTTTTCTTTTTCTTCTGATGTCCATCCTCTTTGCCTTTCACGATGGGGATTGAACATTTTAGTTAGGGTCCTCTCTTTTGCTTAGTTTGTTTAGATGTACAGATTTTAGTGGGTTTATTCTATGTTGTATGTTTATATGAGTGAGTATATACCATGTGTGTCTTTTTGCTTCTGGGACAACTCACTCAGGATGATCCTTTCCAGGTCCCACCATTTACCTGCAAATTTCATGATTTCCTTATTTTTCATTGCTGAGTAATACTCCATTGTATAGATGTACCATAATTTCTGCATCCAATCTTCAGTTGAGGGGCATCTGGGCTGTTTCCAGCTTCTAGCTATTACAAATAAAGCTGCTACAAACATGGTTGAGCAAATGTCCTTTTTGTGTACTTGAGCCTCTTTTGGATATATGCCTAGGAGTGGTATGGCTGGATCTTGAGGAAGCGCTATTCCTAGTTGTCTGAGAAAGCACCATATTGATTTCCAGAGTGGTTGTACAAGTTTACATTCCCACCAGCAATGGAGAAGGGTTCCCCTTTCTCCACAACCTCTCCAGCATGTGTTGTCACTTGAGTTTTTGGTCTTGGCCATTCTGAAGGGTGTAAGGTGAAATCTCAGGGTTGTTTTGATTTGCATTTCCCTAATGGCTAATGAGGTTGAGCATTTCTTTAAGTGCTTCTCTGCCATTCGATATTCCTCTACAGAGAATTCTCTGTTTAGCTCTGTTCCCCATTTTTTAAAGTGGATTACTTGGTTTGCTGCTTTTCAGACATTCTTAAAAGAAGGAAAACCAAGGAGATTAATCAACACCACACCTTTACTAAGATAAAAATTAAAGGAAGTTCTCCCAACAGAGAACAGTTGAAGAAGAAATGCTAGTATTAGCAAGGAAGAAAGAATAATGGAAAGAGAAAAGCAATATGGCTAAATAAATAGATTTTCTTCATGATTAAATTTCCTAAATTAGTTGATGGTTGAATTATCAATTATAATATTATTCTAATATAGTTCTAAATGTGTGTGGAAGAAATATTTAACACAATTACATTATAAACAGAAGTAAAAAAGGGTAGAAAGAAATGAAAAGTTTTTCTACGTCATTAAAGGTAGTAAAAAGTTGAAACTAGTTGTACATTTTAAGTCACGCGTGCCTACACACACACACACACACACACACACACACACACACACACACCACAGTAGTACTGAGAGCAATCACCACAAAAAGATGAAGTATAAAATACTATACTTGAATCAAATATTTTTGTAAACATCACTGAAGTAAACCATAAAAAGTAAGGGAAAAGAAAAGTTGAGACAGAATTCGTGGAATTTTGAAACTACATAAGTGGGTAGGAATCAACACTAATATCAACAAGTATATTAAACAATGACCTAAGAGATTAGCAAATAGGATAAAAACATAAACTAATAATGTAGTATTTAAAGAAAATTGCTAAAATATAATAATATGAGGAGATTGAAAGTGAAGTGATAGAAAACATGCGTGTGGAGATTAAGTTTTCTCAGACCATTTGTTGAAAATGCTTTTTATCCCATATATATGTCTGGCAAAATAAATCAGGTAGCTGCAGTTTTGTGGACTTATATCTAGGTCCTCAACTCTATTTCATTGATCTATGTGCTGTAAACATGCTGTTTTCATTACCACAGTTCTGTAGAATAATTTGAAATCAGGTATGGTCATAACTCACACAGCAATTTGTTGTTATTGTTGAGGTTTGCTTTGGCTGTCCTGGGTCTTTTGTGCCTCCACATAAAATTTTGGACTGTTTCTGCCTGTGAATAATGGTATTAGAATTTCTATTTGAGATGATTGCACTGAGCTCGTAGATTGCTCTTGAAAAGATGGTCTTTTCATAATATTAATTCTTCCAACCTGTGAGCATGGGATACCTTTCCATCTTCAATGTCTCTTCAATGTCTTAAAATTTCTATTATAAAGGTATTTAATTTTTTTAAAATTCAGGTTTGTTTCCAAATTATTTTGGATGGCTG